GGATTTATAGTGGGTTACGTTGTTTTCTCCAGGAAAGAGCGAGCAAAGGGATCAGCCCAGTGCAGACAGACTCACAGTCCGTGCAGTGTCATCCAGGGTAGAGTTTCTTTGGTTCTGCCAATAGGTATTGCAGTGTAAAATGTCTGGAGGCCAGTTGGGGCTGCTTCTCTAGAGACAGGACCAAAGTATACAGTATACTGGCTCTCATTTTGCTGTTTTTGGACAGTCAGGGCTGCTTTCCATTTCCTACAATGTTCCAATATAACCAAGGCACATGTGCTCAGTAATGGAGGCTTCTGAGACCTGGGGCTTCTGCAAAAAGGAAAAGAGCAAAGTAGTATTTATACAGTATAATATTTGGATTCACTAATGGGCTGTGAGGTAGGTGTTATCACGAACTACTGTGTGGCAAGAAAGGTTCCTAAAACACAGATCAGCTTACTCCATCTCCAAATGGTTGCAGATACCCCAGTGTTTAGTTTCTAATTAGACTTGTGTTGTGCTAATTCTCATGAGCAGTGCCAGTGATTGACGTGCTGCATTTCAGTGGCAAGGAGCAGAGCAGCTGAGTGCAGCTCAGTGATGAAGGCAGCATCCAGCTGCTGAGGAAGGCACACTGCTCCCAGAGGCTGATTTCAGGATGAGCACACGCTGATTGGTGTGGCCTTGCTCCGAGGGGAAGGAGGAAATAAAGGCACATAGTCTTCAATTACACTAATGATATTCTGGTCCTAAAAGGATTAGGAAATAAACATCTAACTGAAAATAAAAGTCCAATGTGTAATAGTTCACAAATAATCCATTTGCTTTTGATGGTATTTTTCGCTGTTTCTTAGGAGAGGATGGACATTATTCTTTTTCCATGCCTCAGTTCCCTGTATTTAAAACACAAATGGCTCATCCTAAGTGCTGATTTCTGTACATGTAAGTAATAAGTGTAAGCTTCCAGGCAGAGCCTTGTGAACTGTTTCTGGATGGAACATGCCAGAGCAGCACAGGCATTTTATGTAACTAAAATTATTTCAGAATTGATTTTGCCAGCACTTTCCTTTATGGCCAGCTCAAGTCAATATGTTTGGTAGTGCAGTTCCACTGTGGATATAAAAATATGGATTTGATATAGACAGTCTCATTGAGTTAGATTGGGTTACTGTGAGGAACATCTCCTGGCTTAAACCCTCTAGTCAGGTCCAAATCCCTTCAGTCAGATTCTTGATGTAAAGTTTGGCTTTTTCAAATCATCATCATCATTGCATTCAGCACTAACAAAGGCTGTGCCTGTGACTCTTGGTTGTTATTCATGTAGCATTTGATTTTTTCACAGCCTTTAATGCCCCTGTGAGGCCCAGCAGGGCTGTTCCCTTGCTTTAGGGTCATTTGGGCCCCCATACAAGTGTTAAAGGAGAGGGGCTGGCTAAGGAGTGGCATTTTCTCAGGATGATCAAGCTGTGGCTTGCTGCAAATCCCATCTGCTCTCTCCACATGCAGCATTAGAGGCCCTTCCTGGAACAAGCTCCTCGGGGATTTACCTGCGTAGGATTTGCCAGTACGGGGTCACTGGACAGGCAGATGGGACACATGATGACAGACTTGGACCAATTGCATTTGGCAGAGAAAACACCTATGGAGTAGGATAGTGACTTTATGGGTCAGATTTTTTTTTTTTAAGTGATATTCTTTGTGGATCTCATCCCCCAGTCAAACAGCAGATATTGTGGTACAAATAGCATTGGTATACCATGCAGAGCTTAGATTTTCAGAATTGCCAGGTGGGCTCTGCAGGATGCAGAGTGTGTGTTTGTGCAAACCCTGGAACAGATAAAGGTATTTGTTCCTGTCTGTGTGCTTCAGCCTGCCAGGGATACTTTTTTGCAGGCTATGTAAAAAAAGGTCAGATTTTGCTTTGTCAGTTGATGATGGAGTGAATTAAATTAGACTTGAAAGCCACAACAATATCACAGGTAATAAAACTTAATCTTGAAGTAAGAATGACACATTTTTTTCTGCTTGAGAAAGGAAGGTTCAGGGCAATCCAGACTTCTCATACTGTTTTATCTCTCTCAGAAAATGCAAAAAGAAGGCTCTGGACTTTGTGAGAGCTTTAGGAAACTTGGGAGGAAAAATCATGTGGTGTAAATGTTCACTTGACCCAATTACGGGCAACATGTTTTAAATATATGAACTTGTAAAGTGCTCATGCTTTTTCATGAGTAAAAATGAGTAAAAAAATTTTTACTGAGTAAAAATGTTCTGCTGCTTGCTGTGAAGATGAAACTTGGACTTCACTGGCAGTGAAACCAGGCTTGCTGCAGATCTGTGTGGCAGATTAGGTCGTTTACTCATATTTCAGTTATGTTTCTTCCAGTTTTTCTTCCTCCATTGCTCTGTTAAAGTACTGCAGCTGCCTGGAGGGCCATAGCCATTGAAAGGGCTTGAAGCACTAAAAGGAGAAATGTTGGGTCCTTTTCCTTAGTCAAACAGTTTTTATGTACCAAGTACTGTATTTTATGCTGCTCGAGGACATGGATGTCATTTGCTGTACTTTAAAATAACACAAAAGCCATTTTGGCTCTCCTTGAAGCCAGTGAGAACATTCCACTTGCTTTCAGTGGGAATTTGTAAGCAACCCATGATTCAGTGTCTGTCAGAGCAGGAGAAAGCTGTTAGTCCATAGTACCATGTAAATGTAAAATGAAAGAACTTGATGCCACATCATTTGCATTTCAGAGAGAAACTGCCTTGGGTTTGGAGGAAGAGTCCCATAAACTTGTTACTCAGGCACACTCACATCCAGAGAAATCCAGAGGAAGAGTCCAGAGCAAGAAGTGTGGAACTGCCCTTCAGCCTGGGGGTGTTTTGTCTGAGTGTGTGTTAGAGCATGGGGAAGGAGTGAGCCCCTTCTTGTCCTTGGGGTTCCCTTCAGTCTGTAGGGTGAAGTGCCAGCTGCTGTTTGAGTGTGTAATAATCACCAGTAAATCATAAATCTAGAATAGTTGCTTGTGCAAAGCAGAGCTTGAAATGGAAGAACTCTAAGGAAGACATCTCTTTCTGTAAAGAGAGTTTTCCCCTGGGTTTTCCCTGCCACAAGCCAGCAGAAGTTTGGCTGCCCCAGATCTGTTCCCTGTGCCTGAGCAGCCCTGCAGAGGGGAAGGCAGCACTGGGCTGTGTGTGACGGGGAGTGTGTGGGTAAATGCCCCTTCCAGACACCGGCCTCAGCAGCATGGCAGCAAAAAGAAATGGCTCATGTTCCCTCCACATGAGATCAGCCTTAAAATTCTCCAGAACAATGAGGTGTCTCTGCAGCTGTGCAGAGCCTGGGGCCTTGTCTGGCATTCTTGCATTTCTCAGCTTATTCTTGTTGCACCTTGATAGAAGTAAGACTTAATTATTAGATCTTCAACTTTGGACTCCCTGCAGTTACTCAGTGCACAGTTTACTTTATCTATAATTTTCCACTCTAGCCTTACAGTTTTCTATAGGGAGATTATATATTTGCAGCTACTGGAAGAATTTGCCTACCAGGAAAAGACATGGTTTTGAGCTCCATGGGATGTTAGTGATGTGTAAATCATTTAATCTCATCCAAATTGTGGCCACTCCATTCTTTTTCACAATATACCTTGCCTTAATGTTTGAAAACAATGGATGATTTTGGGTGATCAGGTTCAGCAGTCTTCAGAGGGACCCAAAATCTTTAGAAATTGCTGTTAGGGAAGATTATATCTTCTAAAATCACATTGCCCCAAGTTTCAAAAATCTCAGGCTTGCATCAATATTCATAAGAGACCCAAGCTCAGTGATATTTAATGAAAGAATGCCTTTATGGAAAGTACTTTACATGCACAGTAAATGCATTTTTGAACATGTTTGAAATGGATGTCTAGAGCTTTATGTTCAGAGAAGGGCATAAACTTAGCAAACAGAAGTGTTTGAAACTGGGAACAAGCATGTGGGTCTTTTGCTACTGGATCTGGATTTTAATCAGAGCTTTGTGCTGCTGTGTGACCTTGATGAGGTGACACATCAATCTGCCATGCAGTCATCAGGACAGAATGGTAAGGAGAGGCAGAGACCACAAGAGCCAGGGCTTGGAGGAGACTTGGACTTGTGCCTGATATGGCCCATGGCAGTGTCTGGTTGGTGGGGCTGCCTGGAGTTCTGAAAGATGAGCAGAATCAAGGCAAGTACCAAAGAAGGAGAAATGAAGTATACTCTGAGCATTGTGTAACATTTCTGTTCTCACCCAGCTCTATGTGAAGTTGCAATATATGTGTACTTAGGTTGATTTATCTTCATGTTAAGGTCACTTAACCACTCTTCCACAGAGGTAGAACACACATTTTCTTACTGGCCTCAAGAGAAAACAATTCTCTGGTGTTCATTCAGATGAATTTAGAACAATTCCACAGGGCATTTTCCCAATTTCTCTGCTTGTGTGAAATGTTGCAGGATCACTTTACTCAATGCAAGCTTATGCCAGTTTTTGTGGCAGGTGATATGGTCTTGATGACAAATCATTTGTCACCAGTTCCTGAGTAACCAAGAGATGGAAAGTTTTGTTAGGTTTGGATTGTAGCTTTAATGTGCACACTCCAGGGGAGTTGGCCTAAGCCAGTGAGGTGTCTGTGTATGCAGATGTTGTACCCCAGCTAAAACAGGTTTCTGGTTCAACTGAAGAAGGGGAGCAGGAGAAGGGTTGGCAAAGGAGCCACGAAATCCAGCAAAGCTTCAAGCACTGCCAGTAGTCTTGAGGGTGGTTCAGTACAGGAGGTTCCGAACAATTGCTAAAGGAGCAGTGAAAATATTTTCCATCCTTTCCTGTGAAATTACATGGTTGGTTTGCTGTTGCTTGTTTACCTGTTCTGCATGTATGTTGCATTTATCAGTCAGACTGTAGGGGGTAACAGTACTTTAATAATAATGTTTTGATTTTTGCTGTGTTTATTCTGTGTTTTCTGACTAAATTCATACTCAGATGGCTTTTTCTTCTGCTCTTCCAGCATATCTGTCTCAGGCTGCCCCTAAAATTAAAATGAAGTAATCTGGCAAAATGAACTCAGAGCACACAAAGAGGAACCACTGGAGACTGATCTGCAAGATATTCAGGTATTTGCACTTTCATATCCTACACCAGTAATTGGTGCACCAATTGGTGCACACACATGGTGTGCTCTGCAGTTCTTGTGCTTAACTCACACAAAGTGGGTGAGAAAATTATATAAATAAACAAAAAGTCATGTGAAAGATGAAAGTTGTTTAGTCAGAATGCCCCCATTCAGCTTAAAGATGGAGCCAGGTTTGTAAAGGTAGAGTTGCAGCTCCACGTTCAGCACACATTGATGCTGCTGTCCCTCACATCTGTTAGCCAGGTCAGATTTTACCTTCTGTCACTGCCCAGTGCAATGATGGCCATCTGAGAAGTGGTGGAGAAAGAGGATCCTTCCCTGCCTTCCACTGGGGCAGAGTGAGCAGCCCCTCCTGTGCTGATGGGCTAAGGCACTGTGACACTTCCACTGACCTCAGGAATTAGATCCTGGGCTAGGCCTACACTGAGGGAGAAATTAATTTTGGAATCCCAGAGATGCCAGAGGTCCTGTGTCACTTGCCAGGCCTCAAGGATTTTTTTGACCTTCAGGTTGTGTATATGTCCTGTGTACAGCTGAAAGAAAATCAGGCTTTTACAGTTCTCAGTGCAGAAATGAGACTTTCTAGTTGGAAAGCAAGAACAATCCAGAGAAATGTTGTCATTTTCTAGATAATAGGAAAATAGATTTTTGTTTTATGAATACATACAGGAGAAAGTAGCACAGCTCTGTTGAGTCCATGTTCCATGTCTCTGAAGGAGGGAGAATTCTTGTGTGATTCCTTCTCCATGCTCTGTGTGAGCAGGTGATGGCATGGATGTGCAAAGTGACAGCTTAATGTCAGCCACATGTGTTTGTATGGTGGTGTAAGTGCAGAGCTTGGCTGTACACAGCTTTGTAGCTGATAAATTGGGGAAGCAAATGAGCTGCTAATGGGAGAAAAGGTAATGGGAGTAAAGGTAAGAGTTAATGGGAATAAAGGTAAGAGTTTGCACTTGGTGCTTGCCAAGTGCACCAATACCAAGGTGCATTCAGAGAAAACATTTCATTTGTACAGTCTTTGCAGTCTTATGTTATCTCATTGCAATGATTAAGCTGTTATAATTAACTGTTGTTCATAATGAAGCATTTTAAACAAACCCACAAAAGCAGAGGTATCTCCTAAGGGTATATATTTAAAGGTTATATCACTGATATGTGAAAAATCACTCTTGTTGAATGTTATATCATATGTGACTGTCTGAAAAGCAGATGCAAGTAAACATCAAAGTTACTGTGGGTATTATTTTAATTCCTGAATTACACACTCTATCAGCTTCCAGATATTTATTCACATTGGTATTTTTTATGTGTCCATTCCCATGGTCTTGGCAGTGTGTTCATAGACACTGCTTACTCTTTCAGATTCTGCTACCAAACTGCTTCTGGGACTTCATGCAGTTTGCTTCATTTGAAGAACTTTGATAAGTTATATGAAAAATTGATAGCAAATCCCAGAGTACCAGGTTTTGCTGCACATAATGCAGATGTAACACATGGGATCACTGAATGATGGTATAGTATTTCAGTATTTAGTATTATTAGTACTTTTCCTTTCAGTATTTTGTCTTTTTTTTTACCTTTTTTATGGTTATTTTGGTTTGGGTTTTTTTTAAACTATTTTACTTTTGGTCTTTTTACTTTGTTTTTACCTTTTCAGCATTGGACCTCCAATGCAGTAGTTGCATTCCATGGTGTCCCAAAAAAGCAAAGTCAATGGTGAAAATTCTTGGTTTTCTACCAAGTGTTTTAGAACCTTGAGCCAGCTCATTAGCCTTCAGAAACATCCTCAGTCTCACTTTAGAACCACAGTTTTCTTGTAAGAACAGGAAACTCTTGTCAGAATCTCCTAATGTTGACTTCAGAAAAGTTTGTGTTCGGCTTTGAAGAGTGATACTGTTTTCTTGTGAGAAGATTAAGTGTATCTAAATAATTTAAATTTTTAACCCTTTTAAAAATAAGTACACTTGAGATTAAAAAATGTTTTACTGCTCAGTTCAGCAGTTCATTCCAAACAGTTATCACTGAAAGGCAGGAGAAACAAGCCTTACACCAATTTTACTGACAATAGATGGGAAGAATAGTACCTGAGAACGTTCTATAAGCTGAAATTATGGACTCATTCTGTACCCAAAGGTGGTGGTCAAATCAAACATCCAGTATTTTAGATGAGAATTACTAACCTTCCTTAATGTTTTGAAAACTCATCGTTATGGGGAAAATAGACTTTGAGTTTCAGACTTGTGATCATTCCTCTAAATGAGAAAACTCTAAAAGTCAAATTTTTTCTAAGAAATTACAGAATGTATATGATTTGGGTAACTATGACTAACAAACTATTTTAGAAAGGAATATTTTTTCCTACTTTGGAAAGAAAATGTGCTTAATGCTTTTTGCAAACCCTTCATGTTTCTAACACTACCCTGATACACTATTTTCTAAACAAGTTACAGGTATAATAAAGCTGCTTACAAGTGTTGCTGTGTTTGAGAGATACAGCTTTTAATTTGGTTCTGCTTTCACAGAAGGAGTGGTTCCATTTCACAAATTTTCTGTAATTTTGGGTCCTGAGAAGCTTGCAATCAGTATTTTGTTGCAATCAATATTTCTAGATGATGTTGCTTTAAAAGAAACCTTTCCTAATTATAAAACTTTGCAAAACTCTCAGATTTTTAAAGTTCCTGAAATTGTGGTCTGTCAGTTTGGTTTCCTTGATAATGTTCAGAAAATGAATTAGTTTAGGGGTTTTTTCCCTTTTTATTTTTTTCTTCTGAAGGCTGGGCATTCATTGAACCTAAGACACATTTACTGCACAGTAATGTGGGGAGGGAGGGAAGAGAGTTTCAGATATGAATTGAGTCTGAGTTACAGTGACTCATAACTGACAACAAAACACCCAAGAAGAGACGTGAGACAGGATGAGATTAAATGAGACAAGCCATGAAAGAAGGGACAGATTTATGAGTTATTGGCCTACAGATGGGATGAGAAGATATGAGTGGAGAATGAGATCATCAGGCAGAAGTCTGCTAGGGGAAAAGGAGGGGGTTCACAGGACACATCCCAGTAGCCTCCTGTGCACAGTGGGAGAATTGATTTAAGCCGCAGGAAAATCACTGTTAGAAATGATACAAAGATGGGTTAGATCCCAAACCTCAGAGGGGCAGATTTTTCTCTCCCTGCACTTAGAAAAACAAAGACACAACAGTTAGGATGACTCTGAGCCTGCAGGAGTACATGCAGAGCACACACTCCAAGGTAGTCTCACCTGGTTAAATCACATTGGCCTCCTTTAAGTGTTACCAGTGCTCTTTTCAGCAATTTAGGGAAAAAACAGCTGAATTCCTTAAAATAAAATTCCTTAAAAAAAAGAGACAGAATTTTCACCTTCAATCTAAACAATTCAACAGTTTTCTTAATTAAGATTAGCTTTTCATCCCTGAAACTGAAAGCATGTTTCTAAGTAACTATATCCTTCATGCTAGGCTGCAGCCAAGACTCTGTGTATGGGTTATAATTGGTGGAATTAATTGCCAAGTGTGTTTGGTTGAAATTTCAGTTGGCCAAATTATAATCCATTTCAAGATTCAGTATCTTAAAGTTCTCACCTAAAAAATGGAAATAAGACCTTGGCTGCTCACAAAGGCCTGTACAAATCTGTGGAGTTGCTGTGTTACCATAGCCATGACCCCTGCCCCTTTTCTAATTTTGTTCTTGTATCCTCTGCAGAGAGATGAGGAGAATCTGTTTGGAGAAATGCACTGAATTCTGCCCTTTAGCTGAATCTGTAGAATCAGTTGGCAGCCTCTTGAAAAAACTTTTCTGGTGAAATTTCTTCTTACATCTGATTCTGATAGGAGTGGGGAAGAGGCAAATGTGTGTTTGTCACAGATTCAATCATTTTTGCTCCGTGATTTAGCTAAGAATACTAAGTACTCATCTGTGCATGTGGACAGGTTGATTTAAAAGTTAATAAACTTGGTAATGGATCAGTAGAACTTGAGGTGATCAGTAGAGCAGTTCTGATTTAGCTGGAAGTATGAAATTTCATTTGGAATATAAAAGTGAACTGCATTAAAAATTCACAAAACTTCTGTTATTCTTTAACTATATCTAGAGCTATTTAGTTTTGGGTGGAACTGAAAAAATGGATAACTTAAAATTTGAAAATTGTAAAACTTTTTTGCTCAGTTTGAGCCAGTGGGCTGAAACAGGATTTGGTTAAGCCTCAGTGTGTAATACTGTGCATTTTGTTAAATTATTGCTGATCATTCACTCCACAGCAGTGTGCATGGAGTCGGAGTTCCCTTCAGGAAGTGCTGGAACATCTGAGCTTAGTGCTGGGACTCATCTGCAGCAGGAGGACTGTCCAGCTGCTCAGACTGGCACCTGTCCTCAGCCCTGTCTGATCCCAAATGCCTAAGGAAGTGTGCAAGGACAAGGAAATGGTGGATCACATTTCAGCTAAGCGATCTCTTGGTGCTCCCCCACCCCAGAGAAACATGCAGTCAGGCATAGTTTATTTCTCATTAGCAGCTGAAGTGATTTCTGTTCTGTAAACTTGCCCGACCTCCCTCTGAGCCTTGTGCCTCCCTTGCAAGGAGTCCTGCAGCATAACACACCTGTTGTGAAGAGCCACTTTGTTTTTGTTTGTTTTCAAACTACCTCGTGCTAGTTGGAGATGAATCTGACAGCAAAACTAGTGAAGGATTTTAAGATTGTATTTTTGAAATGTAATTTGTGTTTAGGCATTAGGTTAGTGTGGTGGCTATAGCACAGTTAAGTAGTCCAGGACCAGGTTGCCTTGTGAGTGAAATAAGTATTACCTAGAAGGTCTGTGCTTCAAAAGAAGTTAAGTCTTAGCTGCCATATCAGTTTTAAGCATGAGCATATTTGGTAATAGCAGGACCAAGTTAATGAATCATTTGAGTATGCATGTAACTCCTCTGAACATTTCAGACTGAGTTGTGCTGGAGTAGAGTCTGGGTGTTACTCTGGAGGTATCTCTCTGTTTGTACAATTTAATCCTGCTATAACACTTATGGTGGGGTTTTTTTGTTTGCTGGATTAACACCGTGTGCTTTTGACTTTGCTGTCCTGTGTTGGATAGTGTTCATTTTGTGTAGAGCCCTGATTCTAATTGGGAGGTAATTGAGATCAACATATTGTGGGATGTTCCTGCTTGCCAGTGATAGGAGGGATGAATGGGACAGAGAAGTAATGGGAAGAGAGAGGTAAAGATGCTGAGGAACCCTGAAATCTAAAGATAGGAAGAACATGGATCATGAGTCTGTTACATCCTGAGACACAAAATCTCCTTGGGGTGGGCTAATAAATACTTCAGTAACTTCAGCTGCCTGAGCCAGTGTGTCTACAGAATGGTTCCCCTTCATAGCACCCTCTGTGAAATAAGAACACAGGAAGAGCTTCAAATGGAAAACACTAGAAAGAGAAAATTATTAAAATTACAATTTGTTGACCAGGTTTTGTAGACTAATAAAATTATTCCTGCAAAACCAAATGACCAGCCAAACAAATTAACAAAGTCATAATAATGGAGAGACTGATTTTATGTAAATTGCAGTAGGGTCTTGCTGTCTGTGGGAACTTTTCCTTACTAGATTTCATTTTGAGAAGATTTCTTAATGCAAATGGACTTTGCAAATCTTAGTCTGCTGAAGCTGAACTGTATTAAAAGTCAAATCTTCTCTTTTGGCAAAATAAAATAAATATAATGCATGACGTGACATGACAGGACATTACATAACATAACAGTGGTATTTCTAAATGAGTAGAGTTCCAGGTTAAAATTCAAGACAAGCTGTGTCTAATAAAATATTTGATCTATTTATATCCTAAATTCCTTAGGAAAAGATTATGCTTGCAAGAAGACAAAATACCTTATTTTTTATATGACATAATGAGGCACTGAAAGATTAGGGTCACAATGTCAAAAATTCAGAAGTCCTGTTTAGACTGCAGGAGAGAAGACTGGACTTTGAAAAATGCTTAGCTGTATTGGCCCCGAGCTATTCCAAATATCCCATCATAAGAATTGGAGCAAAAACAGGTTGATGCTGTGCTCACTTGAAAACCTGTCACCAGTGGTGTCACTAGCAGTGGAAAATAGAGAAGCTGTTTTGAAAATCTGTTTCACTGCAGGAGATAAATGTGGATGCTGGCATTTAACCCAGTGTCTAAGCAAAATATTTTTCTGGGTTTTTGTAAGTATTCTTGATAGAGAGTAAAGGGGAAGGAAACAGAATGACTGAAAAGTCTTCATTAGGATGGAGAGGAATGAGGGCAGCAGGATAGCAGGTGTCAGAAGAAAATGCCATGGACAGTGCATTGATGGCAGTAGAAGATGCAACCCAACAAAAGCCATGTCAAAAGTAGCTTGAGGTGCTGGAAGCAGTAAAAAATTGGATTTTTTTTTTTTTCCCATAGGTGTTGCTGTTGAGCAGAAATTGGAAGGAAACTGTGAGGGTCAATAGATTGAGAAAATGGTCCTGCCCATCATCATAGGAAACCATGAACCTCTCCACTCTGGGACAGGAGTGACCTGCAGTGACCAGCTCTGCTGCCTTAGGAACATTAGCTGTACTTCTCAAATAAGGTAAGAAATCAGTTGTCTTGGTATGGGGAAAATTTGGGAGAAAACTTCCAGAAAGCAGATTCAAGTGGCCACTCCCCCAGCTGCTTCAGAAAAATATTTCCTTGAAGAAGAAAAGTGGAAAAAATTGTTTCTTTAACAGGCAAAGCACTCACCAGAACCAAAAAAAAAAAAAAAAGAGAGAGAACAATATTAAACAATAAAAGCTCTTGCTGCTCCAAAGAGATGCCAAACTCAGGAAGCCCCTCCATAGCTGTAGCTCAGCTCACTCAGTCTCTGTCAGTCCCTCAGTGCTGGAAATGCCCAGGCCCGGCCCGGCGCCCACAGCTGGAGCTGCCGGTGCTCTGCTGGGTGTTCTGTGCACAGCAGGGTTAAACAGGCCCAAGGAAAAGAAAAACCACAGCCCAGGGAACTTCTCTGCCTCAGCTAGACAAAAACTAACTAAAAGCAAAGGAGAGCCCTGTCCTGCTGTCTGTCCATGTGCAGACAGCACAGTCCAGGAGAAGGATGGAGCAACTGCAGTTCCTGATAACAAACTCTGCATTTCTTCTCTCTCCTCTTCACTCTCAGAACCTGTCTTAAGGGTGCAAAACTTATTTCAGATCAATGGGGATACAAGCATCATAAAGTCACCCCAGGACATCAGTTAGTATCTGAATTTAATTGGGAAAATACTGGTTTTAATCTAACTGAATGAAGCCTAAGCAAAACACCTGAATATAACCTTCTAAAATTAGTGACTTTATGCATTTTCCAGAGGCAATATATGTCAAATGTACACCCATTTTTCGGACTGATACCTTAGAAATGTCTTAAAACAAAATACTGAACTAGTTCTGTCTGTTCGTTTTCTTTCTTGAAGCTGTTTGCTGCATTTCAGACAGGTTAACATGGAGTGTTTTTCTGACTCTTGGGACTGACATTCAGCTTGCCTATTACATCTTATGAAAGGCTCTGTCAGGTTTGAAAATCAGAAATTTTCAAATAAAAGCAGTGTCTGGAGAGAGAGGCACAATTTGCTTTCTTTTCCCAGCCTGTTAATAAGTGAGAAGTGGGAGGTAAAGCAGGATTCACTACAGGACTGGGGGCTACTTTAGTCCTTTCTTTAACTGGAAAGAGGAAAAAAAAATGTTCATTTGCTAGAGAACAGCCTGTGTTTGTATGCATTCAAAATACTGACTGATTTGCTGATGTTACTGACAGACACTGTGTGCATTTAAGGTCCTTGGATGAGAATTTGCAGTAATTGTGTTTCCCTTTGTGGAGGTAATTAAGGCAGCCAGCAGCTGTCTGGCAAACATTAGCACTCTCCTACCTGGTCCCAGGGGAGCAGAGGCAAGGCAGGAGTGGTTTGACCAAGTGATTGGCAGGACTGGGGTGAGACTCAAACCTTAACCAAGCCCTGCAGCCGAGGGTGAACACATGGCATTGTCCTTACAACATCTACAGTTGCTACAAACATCATGGAATTGTTTAGGTTGGAAAAGCTCTCTAGGATTGCCAAGTACAACCATCAAATGCAGAGGAGAAAGTGGTTTTGTGTGTAGAGATAAAAGATACAGCTGTGCTAAATGCTCTACAAATACATAGTAAGAGGAATCCTCATCACTGCACTGCTCAGTCTATCTGAACAAGGATGAGTCTCCTGTAAATTTATTTTTAATAGTAACTTAGGTAAACTCTGCCCTAGCTGAGCAATATTTAGACATGTGTCTTTTCTTCTGAAATCAAAACTGTATATTAGTTAATGGGGACACCTTTTAATTAATTACTCAAAATGTCCATATTGCATTATTTCACAGAATTATTTAGCTTAGAATCACAAGCTTCCCTAAGCCTCGTGGTTTGTGCAGTATCCTCCTTATCTATAAATAAACAATATCTGACCTTTGTACTCTAGAAGCCTGGTAAAGACCCTGGCAGGACATCACAGAACCTCCTAATATAACTTCCAGCTATTTGTGGGAGTCTGCCTCCGTGTCACTGAGAAGCAGAGTTGGAGGTGACAGTTTAGATTTTGCCTCCTCCTTCCGGAAGCCATTTCAGTCATGCAGGCACTTGTGGATCTTACTGTGCATTTATAGCTTAAGGAGTCGTTTCCACTTGGAAATAGTCCTGGGCACAGTGAAGATGGACACAGAGTGCAGGCTAAGGTACAGCTCTGTTACTGCTTTAAGGTACTGAGATTAAATCTGTGTTTACCAGGTTTCTGTTTCAGTGAAAATTGCAATAATAAATGCGATTATGTTCAGTTCAGTAAAGATGCAATTCAGAATGTTAAAATATTTATGTTAGCTCTCAAATGCCACCCTAAGTAGGTGTTATATTAAAATTGCATATTAAAACAAAATACAGATTTCTCTTCCCTACTTAATGTCAGTTACTTTATTTCAGTTACTGAAAATATTTTGCAGTTGTTTTTACTTTCCTGTTTTTCTCTGCTTACGTAAAACAACTTACAAGTTTAATGAATTTATGCTTAGATCCTTCAATATTTAAACTTCTATCTGCTTTGATAATTAAAATCAAGAGCAAAATAAAATTTAAAAGTGTAGAATGCAGGCATAGTGTTTCCACACAGCCAGAATGTTTTCAGATGTTCATAAATGTTGCACTGTTGTGGTGCTTCATATTAATATTTGAAGCAAATAAGTGTTCAACTACAGGAAGGCTTTCTTAGGTCTTTTTTTGGGGTGTCAGACCTCCAGTAAGCTGTTTAACATGAGGGCTTCTCCAGTGCCACTTTCTGAAACACTGTTTGTTGGAGTGCATGTGGCAAAGCAGCCACTTGATTCCAGGTGTCTGAAAAATGCAACAGTATTTCAGGTGAAAGCAGTGTATTCCACTAGCAAAGGTGCTGATCTTTTTGTAAAATTAAATTCTATGTATTTTAGACAGAAGTTGTGATTTTTAAGGTTACACCTGCATTAGTGGTGTGTATTAGTTTGTGTATTGTTTAGTTTACATATTCCACCTATATCCTTGCAGCCAGGTGCAGAGCTGTTTGTGTCTAGTAAGTGTCTGCTCTGAGGATATTTTTATCAGCAATTACACAAAGGAAACTGAAATTAAAGAGTTCCCCATAGACTTTGTGGATCATCCACTGTTTTGTTGTTGAAATAATGAATGTTCACTGCAAAACTACAAATGGAAAATGAGCTGCCATTAAAAGGGAAATTCAGATGTGTTTCATGGTTCCTTTGCTTTTCTTACTTCCTTGTGTTTTACAAATGCTGTATTTTAGGGAGACTGAGAGAAAATCCTAAGGGCAACTGTCAGAACCAGGACAGAGATTTGGTTTTGTTACTGGTCTCCATGCAAATGGACTTCTCTTTCCATCCTTCCCTGCTGCTGGACATAAAAATGGATTTTGGAGTGCCAGAGCTTGTGGCCTCAGTTATGTGGGTATATGTTGTGAGAATTAGTAGTGCCAGTGGCACACAGGGTTGATAAATGCTACTGTTATTGTACAATTAGGTACTAAATGTTACCTGTATTACCCTCTCAGGACAACACACTGCACTGCAGGGAAGAAACACATAACATGACTTGGAGAAAATGAGAACTTGTTTAAACAGAATGTCTCCAGGATAGTCAAGGGAGAGATTAAACTGGAATTCAGATGAAGTCTTTTGTAGGTACATACACTAGTGAGGAATTACCAAAATGGGAGAGCCAAAGGGGGGTGCTTAGCTTATCCTTTTTTTCCCTCAGTAAAATCTGGGAAGTAAAATTTTAAATGTTATGTGAATATTGAGGCCTATTTTGGTTTGCTTTTAGTTTATTGAAAAATCATAAATTATAAAAAAAATTAAATTATTCCAAGACTTCTTTTTTTCATCCTGCTGTTGTTGGACAAGGGTTCTTTCAGCAGTGTCAAAATGGTTGACTTGCTATAGGAAAAAGTGCTGTGAAATAGTGATACATAAAGAAAACCAGAAAGGTTTTTTGTGTTTGTTCCCCACTAACATTTTAGTGTGCTGATACTCTCAGTGATTATTTGTAGTTGTGTGAAAACTGTGTCTGTCTGCATGAATATGAGAAGACATGCTTGGTTTAGTTCTGCATATGAAGAAAAGGAACTGCATAAAATATTTTTCATTCCTCCTGTTAATTCTTGATTGAAATCCATTGAGCATTGTTATTCTTTTGCTGGTAATGCACAGACAAAAGAGCAGACTGTCACCAAAGACAATTCTTTAATTCAAATTTCAGAGGATAAAAACAAAGAACAGGTTATTTATTTTATGGATATGTGTGTGCATAGTTAAATGTATATCTGTTATAATGGACCAAGGAAAGTGGAAAGGAATCCTTAGTGCTCAGATGGAATGGGAAGGAGAGAACCAGAGCAGAGCTGGCTTTGAGATTTGAGGCAGAGGAAGGCATTTCATGTGCAAAGGATCAGGCTCCTATTGGATTCCCAGTACTGGAGGCATAAAACTTTAATTTCCTTATAGAAGCAGAGCAGTTTGAAGTGATAGGTTTGACAGTGGAAGCTGAATATTGGTTTTCTTTTTAATTTATTATTTATAATTTAAGAAGTTGTTATAATTTATTATATTTTATTTTACCTTCTCTTTAAAAGTACTAGTTATTATTTAAAATAATAGGGTATGGTTTAGAATACTGATTTACACAAATCAATGTGGAAGAAAAATCTGTGAAGCCAAGAAAATAGATTTAGATCAGTCCAATTTGACATTGTGTGTGTAAGAAGACTTGAGAGCCTAATTTGTACTGATGACAATAAAAATAATTTTGGTGTGGGAAATGTTATGACCCACCTCTGAAAGCTTGCCAAAATGGAGGCCCATCTCTTCTTGGAAGCAGTACATTGTGAAGTTTTAGAGGCAGTAAAGCAGAATTCAGATTCCATTATGGGTGTGCTTTCCTTCTGAACTAAAAGATATTTTGCCAGTGACAATTTTCAGGTTGCATACTTGTGATGACAGAAAAGGCCATGATTATAATATGTCCTGCTTAGTAAGAGTGGTCACAGTTTCTTGAAGGTAAAACTACCTTCTCAGCAACTTCCTAGCAGAGGAACATGGTGTGTTCTTACTTTGTTACCAGGATGCTTGCGGTAATTCCAGATACAGCAAACATTATTGCATCCAAAATGGGATTTTACAGCTAAATTATGTAATCTCAAATGCTGTGAAAAGCTCTGGTACAACCTTTGAGCAGTCCTGAGCAATTTGGGCATAGTGTAACAGGGAGATGATTTTCTCCCACCAGTTAAATCTCTTGCATTCAATGCAAAAGGATTTTTTTGCATGATGTAATTTGTTGGATAGCTGAGGTTACAGTCAGTGTTGAAAGCCCCAAGGTGTAATTACACAACTGTTGCAGAGCCCACCAGAATATTGTGTTCTCTCTCTCTGACACTGCCATGTAGTGGCTGAGATCCATTATCCCAATATCAGCTCATGTGGACTCTGTTTGAATTTCAGAAAAAATAGTGATCAGATTATTAATGTATAAAATCAAGGCCATGAAGGTAAATGAGATGGGTACTTTAGTTTGCTACATTGCATTCTGACAAGGTTCAGCTACAACAAGCTGAAGGATTTTGCTTTTAATAACATATTGCAGTAGGTATAAAGGTGCATGAGCCATGCTGTTCATAAATACAAGTGTGGCATTCTTTCATAAGTTTTTTAAATGGTCACAGTGAAAATCTTGAGAATCATAAATAGAAAATTTTCTAGATTTTTAGGCAGTGATCATATTTTGAACAGCATGCTTCTAAAAACAAGCTCCAGACTTAGTCTTGGACATCAGCTAAACAGTAAGTGTTACCAGGCAGAAGATTTCATAGATGAGACCTTATTTTAAAATTGCCTTCACTTAGATCCATCATGTGTGGAATCCTTTGGTACTGGCTTCTGATGAGCAGGATGATGTCTTTAACAGCTCACTGGGATTTTCAAATACATCAGTGTGATGTATTTGCTAAACAAAGGTGGTGGCTGAAGTTTGACAAGTGCTTGTGTTCCTGGAGGCATGGAGAATAAAAGTAATTCTGAACAAAATTCTGTTCTTTATTTCAGTTTCCCTGATGACATGCAAATCAGAGTCTGTTAACCATTGGCTGTTCCAGATACGATGTCAAAGCCAACAAGGGAGACTTGATGTAGTATTACTCAAAAGCAGAAGTATTTTGGTAAGTCACGTAACATGCATTAAGTAGTTGAGAAAGTGATCATTCATGATAACACATTTTTTTTCTGCTCTTTATACCTAAAATGTACTTTCAAGAAACGTTGCTAAAAAGCACAGTAGACTGTTCACATTTTGGAAAGTGTTTCTCCCTTCAGAGGCCTAGAAAACAAAACCTTCATACAAGGAAGGCTTAGAACATCCTGCCACAGCCTAACCTTGTGGAAAACTCCACAGAGCTGCAGCATGGCATACTGGTTTTGGTCAAGTATGGCACAGTGCTCTTCCTATTTGTGCAACTTCCACCTTCTTTCAGAGTTATTAATTCACCTGTTTCACTTAGAACATTTTTCATGGTAAGCCTGCATTACCTCAGCACATCAAGAGGAATATTCTCAATTCAGACAACATTGCAGAATATCATCTGCTTGAGGAGTTTTGCATTGCTTTCCAAAATACATATTGATTGCAGCAGAATTTAAATAAAACAAGTCCCAAAACAAAATATAGCTATTATTGTATATTCACTATGTAAATATGATTTACAGGGCTTTAATCTCTTTCTTGATTGCTTGAAATCTTGCTTTTTAAGGTGGCAATGATATGGCTGTAATACTATAAGTTCTTAAATGTACTGGTGCTATCATTCTGCATGCATGGTTCTTTTATACCTAGAGGACTCTTTAGTCCTGCTAATACATCTACCAATACTGCTTGACTTTATTAAAGCCTACTGACATGTTTACTTGGGGTTGAGAAGTCACACATTTTCCCTTCCCACCAGTAGCAGTCAGCTCTGATGTGTGTTTTTGCTTTCTTACATTAACACACATGTGTGTTACAGAGTATCTGTGCAGGTGATTTAAAAAAAAAAAAATAAAAAAGACTGCATAGGCTTTGGTGTCACTGGAAAATAAATACAGGTGTGTACTCTACTCAGGTGAGGCTCCATATGAACATGTAGATGCATCGAAAGACAATTTCTGAAGAGAAAATTATCTTATATTGTCATGGGCTCCTGTCCCATTTCTATTAATGTCTGAGATTTGAGAAACAACTGAAACAGAAGCTGTATTCTTACTTTAATACCTGGATGTGAGACAGAGCATGCCCTTTTTGAAGGAGTAACTCATATAAATTCTTATTTTACCACCAGAACTCTTGTATATACCTCTCATTTTTCCCCTCCCCATCCCCATTTTTCTTCTCCCCAGAATTTATCATCTTCTATTGAAGAACTGCTGTTCTGTATCCCAGTTTGGCCCAAGCAATAAGTAAATACTAATGATATTCCCTTAATCATTGTATCTTGCTGCTGACATCTACATAAGGAACAGAAGATGTCCAGTGGTGCACCACTGTCAAGGCCTGGAAGAGTCTTCTTCACTTTCTGGCCTCCCTGATGTTGTTCCAATTCCAGCTGATATTATATGTCCTCTGGACTGGATGCACATGCTGTTCCCTGCCTGTACATGTTTGATCTGTTTAATTAGAGCATGGAAGATATCTTCTGCACCTCAAAAAATACCTCTTGGCACTACAGCTGGAGGAACAGGCATCCACCATAATCTGGGATATGACAAAAACAGCAGAGGCCAGCTGAAAGAGGGATTCCCAAAATCTTGATGTATTTCTCATGGGATTTGCATGAGAAAAAAGCAGCTGCAAAATGGCTCCAAATGGATTTGTCTTCTGCAAGTGCAGAGCCTGGGACAGAATTGGAAACAGCTTTAACCCCTGCCTCAAAGAGTGCAGTGCAGATCCTTTTCTATAGGAATACTATCCCAGCAAAGTTAATTGGGCAACTCCTGGTCTAAAGTATTAGTATTTATTATCATGATTTTCTTCTGGCAACCACACATGAGCATTTACATTAGAAGTGCATCCAAAAAGGTCATAATTACTTAAATAAATAACATTGGTGTTTTGCAAATGAGCAGTTAAGTTATGAAAGAAGCCTCTTTTCATACAGCTACTGGCTTTGATCCTTCTCTGCATTATTTAAGACCTAAGGCTCCAGAGTTAATGCCTGGTGTCAGACACAGAGTGTAGCTCTGCTGTGCTAAAGTTTTGTGTGACCCCCTGGACCAAGGGCAGGGCGGGCTGCAGGCTGGTAACAGCACAGTCTATTACAGCAGACCCTGCTCTTCCCTGGGCTGGAATTCCTTGCTTGTCTTTGCAGCTTCTGTCTGCTCACTCCTGTCCTTTCCTGCACAATCCCTTTGGCACTGGTTTCCTCTGATTCTTACCACAAAAGTCTGGGTCACAGCAATGTGCCCTCTGCAGTGTTTGATTTCTGTCTTGGTTGGCTTTTCCAAGGTTCTCAATGCATTTGCTGCCTCCTCTCCACCTTCTCATCTGTATCTTCAGGTCTGAAAACTCCTTTAGAAAACACTTGACTGAATATAGGTGCCATCATGTGTCACCACAGGCAGGGGAGTGGTCAGCATGTTCTCAGAGACTGTAAAAGCCAAGTGGAAATCTGCAAGTGGGAATGTCCCTTTGTATTACAGTTTACCAGAAAGGGATTCCAGGAGTTAAAAAAGAATTCCTGTTAATTCAAATTACATTCATTTTTTTATAAAACAGGAGTTAGTATTTACTGTAAAGTTCTTTTTTGACTACAGACTGCATAAGGAAGGAAACAAAATATTGGAGTTCTCTCTGTAAGGCAGCTATTTTCTCTGTGCCTTTTTCTTCCCTCTCTTTAATTCCCAATACCTCAGAGGCACAGTTTCCTCCTTTAGCAGGGACTGTGACCTTAAAAATATCTTGCTCCAAAGTAAACACAGAAAAAACCTACTTCATTTGTTTCAAATATGTGGTAAGTAACCAAAACCATGTCCAGGCTGAAATTCAGAGTCTCTTAGAGCTGCTTTTAGAGCTTTTTAGCCTTCGTGTTCAGGCTGCAGGCTGGCCTCTGTCTCCAAAGGCATTGGTAAATCTTGCAATGCCATTTCTAAGTCATTTGTCCCTGCCTTTACCACTGTTGCAAAATGTTTAGAGGGGACACTTTCTGTTTGCGTGAGGGCCAAGTGTGGCACCCAGCACCTATGGAAGTGATGATCCCAGGCTGCTTCCATGGCATTCTGATGGGTGGGACATCACAGCTGGAAGAGTTGGTGATTTATTGAGCAGAGAGCTTGTTTTGTCACTTTTGCTTCTAGCTGTAGGCTCCATCCTCTGGTCCAGCTGCAGGAGGAGGAAGGCAGGCCCCTTCTGCACTGGGGCACATCCATAGAGCTCTGCTGCCCTCACATCTGCCCACAGCTGGGCCAGAGCTTGCAGTTCCTACAGAAATGTTTTCCAGGAACAGCCCTTGCCATCAGACAGATTTAGTGGGGCAGTGAACCAAGTCCTGACCTGTTCAGTAGCAAGGCTGGGGTCCATGTGTTAAAGCAGCTGTGAACAGCTGTGCTCTGCATTTCACTGAGGAGCCCTTGGTGTTGTGTGACCAGTAAGGACAGAAGGACAGGAGAAAGGACATTCAAATCTGCAAATTAAATCCCTTATGACAAGCAAGTATTGCAAAGGAGTATTTTCAGAGTCTGGCCAATGCCCCTGCATGGAAAAATTGGTCAGGTCTTACAATCACCTCTCCCTGGGCAGAATTGTCTCCTTACCTTGCTTAGGAGAGTTTAAAACTGGTACAGATGCCAGAGTAACAGTCCAGTGGGTCTCTCACAAACAGTCTGCTTGTGCAGACTGTCTCAAAACACAGGTATTCCCTTTACTTTTCATCTTGCAGAGGAGATCTTTCTATCTCTAAACATACCAGATATATCTGTGTGATGTAGCAAATGTAGTCACTTAAATATTTTCCTCTGAATATAGTCTAAAAGTCTTCATTTATTTAGAAAAAATATGCATTACAGTGTTTTGAAGCCTGAGAAGAGGACTAAGAAACTTTTGATTAGCATTGACAGCTTGGTTCCTTTGGTGTAGGGGAAAAAAGAACAGTTGAAAAAGGAGCAGGGGGAAACCTCAAAAGAACATTTTATTTTTACTTTTCCATCTAAGGTGCAGTAGGGTTTGGGAAGGTTTTTCTTAATCTGTTGTGTTATCCTGATCCACAGGGAACTCATTTTGAAATTAAATATGCCAAAGCATTTATGATTTGCAAGGGGGGATCGGGGGGAAGCCTTAAAAAATATCTTGTGTTTGATCTATTTGTCACTATGAAAATATTGACAAAAAGTAAAAGAACGGCCTTCATCTAGCTTATTATTCTTGGCTTATTTTAATGCTTTCTTATTAAGGGCAAACTCCCATTAAGATGTGAGATTAACTCTTTCACAGTTGCAAAGAAATATAAATGTTTGACTATTACATCAAACTTTAATTTATTCTAAAGTAGGTAATTCCTACTCAAAAATACATAGTGTGAGGTGTTGCTTTCTGATACAAGGCAGGCGGCCTGGTTTCAGGAAACAGCACGGCGACTTCCTTCCCCGGGGTCGCTCGGGCCTAAGAAACACGCGGACACCAATATGGTGGAGGATCAAAGGCCTTTATTCTCTCTTCTCCTGGGGTTTTATAGTCTAAGGGGCTTCTACGTCAGGTGAGGGTCTGTCCTTACCATCTATGGTTAGTAGGGATGGAAAGTTACCTGGGCAAGTGGAAAATTACCGGAATCCGGTTCAGGGGGTTACATTCCTATGTTAATTTTCTTATCTAAGGGGGCAGGGGCCCTGTCTTCCCGTAACATCACGAGATCTTCCGAACGCCAGGCCCTATCTGCTACAGTGAGGGATGAAAATACATAGGCTGAGAGGGATGCTTTTAAAATTAAAAACATGTATGGAATAAGCTGTGCAGAATTTATGCTGCAAAATATCTTCTGTGTAAAATCAGAAATAGAGTGTTAATGACACAGTTCTTAAAGGATTTCAGAAAATAAATACTTTATGGGGGGAAAAAAAAGAGAGCATGAAGTGTTAACTACAGAGGCAGCCCAAGGGTTCCTGGGACCTTGGCTTCATCCTCTCAGAAGCTCTCAGTTTG